TCCCTTGAAACTGTGCAGTGCTTATGGATATTAAAATTTTATCTAATTCAATTCTGGTTATCTCTCAAAGTTTTATCTGATTATTCAGTCATGACTCCCAAAGTCATTCTCCAAGGTCATTGCTCAGCGCCACCCCCTGACTTTACCTCACCCCCTGTGATCCTTGAGTTTCTAATTCCCCTGAGAAAGGAAAAGTGAGCTCCCCCAAGATCTATGCTCCCTTCCACCTGGGAGGCTAAGGAAAAACTTCAAAAGCTTAGTAACTTCGCTCAGGGGTTGTGTGGGAGTTATTATAGCACTAAAGCCTCCTGCTACCCACCCTTCTAGGAGCAGGCACTGCAGTGGTCAAGGTCTGTGGAAAGAACAAGGTTCACGTAAGAGGCCCTGGAGCCAAACCCCTAATTTCCCAAAAGGATGAGGGGACATAACCAAAGTCGCCAGTTAGTGCTAGAACCCAGCCTGTTCTGGCCACTCAACCGCAATGCCCTCAATGAGAGTCAAGTCAGCAGATCCAGGAAGGAGTTCACGGATCACAGCACCAACCAACCAGCCCAAACTTAGGGTGTGCTATGTACAGCCCTTTGACTGCTTGGTAAACAGAATAGAAATAGGCATGGTTCCTGCCCTTTCTAAAATAAATATACATACTGTGTATTTGTATTTCCATACTAAGGAGTAGTGATAATAAGAAATGGCTTTCAGCTATAGTGGGGATGGTGGGTAGGGCTGTGCCCCAGACAGCTGAGATTGGAGGAGAGAAAATGGGGCAGAACGGAGGCCTCCAGGGGTCCTGTCCTTGGGGAAAGTTCTTACAAAAAGCCCTGTACACAATGAACCCTCCAAAAGCCAGAATGAGAAAGTTACACTGGTCCCTCCATCATTAGCATTTTGAAGAACCACTGGGGAAACAGGAACGGACAGCTAAGATGGAACATGCGCCCTCCCGCTGGCTCGAGTCCCAGCACCATCCCTCAGGCTCCCCATCCATCCTGATCTTGTCTCCTATGGCTCCTGGGGCCTCTGATGGCACTTTCTCTTTCCCACCTGCCACTGTCTACTCATCAACCTAGTATGCAGAATCGCCAACATCTCTCTCTCCAGCTGGCTCAGAAGAAAACCCACAATGCCTCTTGGGGTTTTGAGGGTATTACTACTAACAAACACAGAAAAAGTGAAATGACACCTGTAATTTAAACTACCAAACATGAAAATCAAAACATTTCCAGAATTCTTTAAAAGTTCTGCTGGTTTCACCCTTGGCTTTCAATGGATCCTAAATGGGGCAACATCCTTGACCTCATGGCCTCTCTTTCTCTGCGGCCTGCTCACCCCTATGCCCTCCACGGACCCCTATGACCAAGCACGGGTGTTTTTTGTTAAGGATACGTAAAAAAGCTCAGGCTGGGTCTCTGCCCGTCTTACGGCCTAGAAGGGAGACAGACAAGTACAAGTCATGGGAGTGCAGTGGGAGAGGTGCCAGGGTAGGCAGCGCCGAGAGAGCTTCAAATCAAAGCCTTATCTTACACACTCCTCAGGGCCCCTTTCTTCCCCCTCCCCATCATCCCATCAGCTCCCACACCCTGCTCCCACTCCGGCTGTGCCCCAACTCCTCTCTGTCCCTCACCTCTCAGGGACCTGGCAGCCCTCCCCTGGGAGCTCCCTGCTTCTCCTCCAGGCCCCCAGATCAGAATGGAACCCACCTACCACCCAGAAAACATCCCAACAGCTGTCTGCTTAGTCAGCACTTGATAAAGTGTTGTTCAATAAAAAAGAAATATTTCCAACTGAAGTAAAAATAACCCCAGCAGAGTTCTCAAATATTAAATCTTCATTCTGGAACATAAATCCTACAAATATTGGAGTTTGCACTTTGTACAAGTGGTGAGTCATGCAACCAATCAGGTTCTCTCTCAGATAATTCTATAATTTATGTATCTGGAAACCAAACTCCTCACTTCGGGCTTCCTATTTGCCGCATTGGATTCAATCAACTGTTTCGTGCTTGCCCGGAGCCTGTTGTGGTGTGGTTTTCAGTAATAACTTACACACCAGCTCTACGGGCAGCATTTGGTGCGTGTGCCCTTGAGTTGTTTTGCCCTTTAATTGCTGCTCAGAATTCCCTGTCTGAACTCTAAGTGTCAACAGGCATGATCATTATTTGAGTCACCTGATATAATACAAGAAGAGATGTCACACAGGCTGCCAAACGACACATTATTGCCAGGTTCTGTGCCCTGAAGGAGGGGCCCAGGGCAATCCAGGCAGATGGTCTGTGAGCTCTGACAGCCAGAAGCTTTCAAGAGGGCATCAGATGTCTCGAGTGAACTGAATTCTCAGTGTGGAACAAGGAAATGCCAGCCACCCTCTTTGCTCAAAGTAGAAGAATGAGTTAGCACTTCTTTGGGCCTGAAGTGGGCTTGAACTTGTCCAAGGATAATGAAAGCTCTGGGCAGCTGGCCAAGATGTGGCCATAACTCCACTCAGAAAACCATAAGGGGAGGGGTAAGATGGCAGTGGGCCTGCTATCCTCCTTATTGGAAGAATGCAGTACCACCTTGCACATGCCCATTTGTCAAGTTGCTTCCAGTCTAAAGCAGATGGCCGTGGAGCCCGTTACTCAAAAATACCATGGCCTCTAACCGTCCCCATGTTCCCCCAGATCTGTGCCACCAGGGCCAGGTGAGGTTCCCCTCCATTCGTTCCCCTCTACACCTGAAAGAAGAAGTCCTCCATCAAGCCACTCAGCTCCCCAGGAGGATAAGGTTGGAGGGTCAGTGAAGTCAGAGGAAACACAGGCGCTACAATGACTCTAGGACAAACTCCAAACGTCTCCAAATGAAATGATCTGTGATGGCCCAGGCCCAAGGCCAGGCTGCTTACCTGTCTATGGGTTTGCCACTGTCCCATCATCCCTTGTCTTTCTCTCTTCCATGGTCCCTGCTGACACTCCTTTCTTCTCCCATCCCTCACAGTACCCATCCCTGGCAAGGCTTTGGGTTACTGCAGCCTCTTTGGTCCTCTCAGAGCCTCCACAGGTCCCCACCCTGGGTGAGAATCTCCTCTAACCAGGCCCAGCTCAGCACATTTTGGCCAACTCTCGCCTCCAGGTCTTCACAAAACTTCAGCTCCCTTCCCTTGTGGGGGGATGGGCAGAGGGAAAAGGTAGGTGGGAACGGTGGTGGTCTTCAAGGCTCCAGGCTCTTAGGTCTTATTCATGGCCTAAGAGCCTTCACATTGGGTGACATGTTCACTAGCCGGAGATCATGTCTGGTTCTACCGTTCACTGAAATTTTTTCACCTACTGTTCTGAGGCTTCAGGGCCTAGTTATACTAGGGGCAGCCCAGACACACCAGCCAGGACCAGGGCTCATTTCCTGTTTAAAGCCCCACCTTCTTATTTCTCCTTTTCCAGTTGAGGAACACCCACCGTTCTTGGCTACTTGCCAAGCAGAGATGACTGACACAATGTGTGTCCAACGAAGAGTGGAGCCTTTCTGGTTCCGGTCACCTCTTCCTCTCAGGGGTTCAGGAAGAGGTGGTCCCTTCCTGTGGGGGTCTCCTCATCCCCCAGAGCAAACAGGGGAGCCTGCCCACACTGAGGCCCAGAAGGGGACCAGGTAACTTAATAGAGGGTTCAAGAAAGGAACCGAGTCCTGCATGCAAGCTTTTCAACCAAGCCTGTCTGCATGGCCCCTGCCATCTCTGCATTTGGAATCTGCTCTGCACACATCTGAGCTGTCGATTTTTACATTTGACCTTTGCTTTCTTTGCTCCTTGGCAAAGTTCCTCTGAAATTCCATCTGGCCTTGGCAATCTCAGGGAAAAGAGATTTTGTCCTCACTTCGGCCACGGGAATCCGTCAGCGGCCAGGTGCTGTTAGAGGCCATCGTGATGCCCGAGACCAAGGGAGCCAGGGCAACGGGAATGAAATGCTTAAACCTGGGTGACAATAACCTGGGACAGCTGTGGATGGACACACCTCTTCCTTATGAACACGATAAAAAAACGCCTCACAGTGGTCTGCCCCTTCCCTCCTGACCAGCTGCAGGGCTCTAGCTGTTGGCCTGAATACCTGGGAGGAAACTGGGAAAAGCATAAGGCAGAAGCAGGGCGGCTGCAGAGGACATGGCTAACATGGGGCTGAGGGATCCCAGCTCTGGATGCTCATAGCGGCCTGGGGCTGTGGAACTCCACGAACCTCTCCCGCCCTCCTTGCGTCTGTCCCAAGAAGGAACTGAATGTGCTTGAATGGGATCGTTAACCACAGCGGGTCCACCAGGTGGCAGTGTTACCCCTGCCCAGTTGGGGCAGAGCCCGCAGTATGCGAGAGCGGCCGCCAGAAGGCAACGCAGGCACTAGCGGCTCCACCACGCTGCCGGTTGCCTAGCAACTGTGACGCAAAGGGCTCCCAGTTTGCACCCTCAAGGCCTCCAGGTTATTTCTGGCATAACAGACTGTTGCACAAGGAGTGGCCTCAGGAATCCCAGAACTGCCTCTCCTTAAGCCGGGAGAATCTAAAATGGTCTAGGAACCCCAAATCCAGCACCACCCTGGCGTCTAGGGGATTGGGCTACTGTCCCTGCTCCTAGGCGTGCCACAAATCAGAAAAAGAACATCAAGGTTTTACATTCCCCTCTGTAGCTCCACAGCCATGGGGCAAGCTCTGATTTCCCTAGCGCAGAAGCAGAGCTACCACCTCCTTCTCCCCTCCCCCACCTTTTCCCATCTAAACAGGAGCAGGATTAAAGGCATGTGACCTTGAGCCCAACCTTGAGCCTCCCCTGCTCCTCAGCTGCACTGGAGAGGGCGCAAGAGGGCGATGATAAGGCCCCGCTCTGACCTGTGGTCTTGATTCTCTCCCTTTCCCCCAAGAATTTTGTCCTTGCCTGAAACCTCTCCCCAGTTCTGATGACCCTGAAAATAGAATTAATTCTTCCAGTTCTTCCAATTCTAGATGGATAAGTATGACCTGAGACACTAAAGACATGGAACCAAGAAAGTGAGGCAGACACAAGACAAGGAGTGTGGTTATAATGAGCTCAAAGCCTGTGCCGGTCTGGTCTGTGAAAGGGCCTGGGTGAGATAAGGTCAGAGCCCTGGGCAGAGTCAGAGGGCCCCTCTGGCCGTGGCATCAGTAGTGGTTCCAGGCATGTCTCTGGGTCGCGAGGAGCCCGCTGGCCCTGGAGCTGGGCTCTGACAGGGGCCCAGGTCTCGGCCACTAAGGTGTCGGGGTCTCTGAGGTGCACCGCGTTGGAGGAGGATCACACGGGCATGTGCAGCTCATTGTACTCATCCTGGCCATCCTCATCGAAGTTCGGTTCAGCATCTTCCGAGTCCAGCTGCAGGAGGAGCAGAAGGTCGGGAGAGGCAGGGAAGTGGACTCGCACCTCGTTCTGCAGCTCCTCCCCTGGCCAGCAGCCCTTACTGCCCCCAGACCCTCCAGGCCTCACTGTCTGCAGGGACCATGACCCCAGATTAAGCACTCTCCTCAGGCCAAAACCTTCAGGTCACCCCGCTTCCTAATAATAACGATGATGATGACTGCAACTACCACATATGAAGTACTTTCTGATAAGACAAGGGGGGTTGGAATAGTGGCAGCTAAATCTTCTATTTCGAGATTTGGACCTCTGGTATAATTCAATTTAACAAGTGTAATTTAGCTGGGGACTTTTTGAAAGCTTTCTTTCCTTTTCTTTGCCTCTTTTCCGCCAAAACGTAATGAATCTGTTTACTGTACATTTACTATGTATACCAGTTTTAATGTTTCTATTTACTTCGGCCTTGCATGCCTGGCCCTGAGACTTGGGAGAGGTTTTTATTGTACACCTGTACGGGATCCACTCCTGGCTCCAACTTAAACCTACATAACATATGCAAAGGTTGCGACAGTTTAACCGCACCTTCCCCCACCCAAACAGACAAAGCCAAACATAACAGAAGATTCCATTACAGGCCAAAGCAATTTACATCCTGGTTAGAAAATATAAAACTTCAGATGAAACAAAGACTCTAGGCAGTAGTCTCCAGCAGACGCTGCCCAGCCAACACTCCTCTTACTTCAATAAATCTTCCTTCTGTATTTCTACCTGCCTCGTGAATGCTTTCACAATCCACGAGCGAGCAGCCACACTTTCCTGGGGCCACTCCTAGCTCCTGTGGTATCTCTGTAGGCCATGTTTGGGTGAATGATTTGCAAAAAGATATCCCTTTCTCTAGATGACAAAAATAGGGCTCAGGATGGATTTCAGCACCACCCCACCCCCACTCGTCCCTCAGCTATGTGCTTCTTTGTTCAGTACACAACCTGCCCAGCTGTCTGCAGCAGCCCTGTGCTTAACTTCACACCAAACCATCATACTCAATGCTTTACCTGGATTAGTGTTTAATCCTCACAACAATCCCATAAGGTAGACTCTATTATTAGCCCCACTATACAGATGAAAATAGGATTTCCGAAAGTTAGGCAACTTGTATACAGTCACACAACCAGCAGGTGGTGCAGCTGAGATTGGAACCCAGGTCTCCCTGATTCCAAGCCCGTCCACCTTGATACTGCCCCAAGCACCTTCCCTTACCGCCTGCAGCTCCCTGTCCTGGAAGAGCCTGGGCAGAAGGCAACGCCTCAGAGGCACCGTGAGCAGCAGCAGGAAGGGAAAGGCGAGCGAGGCCGCCGTGGACTTGACTACCCAGAGCAGTGCGATGCAGCCCAGCTGGATGCAAGTGAACAGGTGCATCCGCCACGTCTTCACCTGGGGAACGGGCATCAGGTCTCACCACACCCCTACCCACATCTCTGGAGCCTCCTCTCCCCAGGTCCAAATTTATCTTCATAGTCATCCTGTCCATCTCTGGCCTAGGGCCCCCTCAGACTCCTTCCCCATCACCCCACCTCCCCACCTCCATGCTTCCTAGGCCTACCTTGGTCACGTAAGGCTGCTCAGGATGGTGTTTTGCCGGCATGAAGATGAGCAACAGACGCTGGGAGAGCTGAATGCCGGACAGTGACGTGACCCCCATGTACAGGAAAATCCCAAAGAGCACGGCCAATGGGATCCGTCGCAGCACAGCCCCCATGACAATGGACAGGCCTGGAGGAGGCGACACAGACCTACCTGACCTCTCACACAGCCCTGCAAGGATGGGCAGACCTGGTGCGGAAGGGGACATGGACCATCTAACTGATCTGCTAGGCCTCCTCACCATGAGAAGAGTGGAGATGGAGAAGATGGAGCAGGACAGAGAACCAGAAAAGGGCTCATGGAAGGTCAAGAAGCAGGTTTGGGGGACAGGGCAGGGGTCAGACAGGCTGAATTTGGAGATTCAGAAGGGACCTGGGTCAAGCCTGGGATAGAGATTGGACTTAAAGCCTTGGGGTCCAAGAAAGCAAGTCTGTGGGGTGAGGGCCAGGGCCTTGGAAGGTGGACATTCTCACCCACGAGGCTGGCAATGAGCACTCCGGTGACCCGCTGCTCCCGCACCTCCTGGATCTGGGGCTTCTCGCCAGGCGCAATGGCAGTGCGCATAACAGTCAGTGCATTGACATGGGTGACTGAGCGGACGGTGGCGGCTGTGAGCCAAGGCAACCCAAACAGCCCACAGAGCCCTCCCAGGGAGCCAATCAGCAGAAGGTCCAGGTGAAAGCCGGAGCCTTTGAGCAGCCTTCGCGCCTTCTGGCTGACAATGAGCCTGCAGGGAGAGGACAGCCGGGGGCTGAGTAGCTGGGTCAGCAGCAGGGCCAGGCACACACGGCAGGTAGCGGGTGGCACCGGAAGCACCTGCAGAGCTCTCCAAAGAGCTTTCCCCTGGACCTGCCAGCTTCCTCTTTCAAGTTCCCAAATTGAAGTTCTCACATTTAAGCAAATTTGAGCCAAATGCCTATACTGCGGATGTTTAAAACACCACGAGAGCCAGATGCCAGATCTCACCACATTATTGTGGTTTAACCAAAATGAGATAGGTGTGAGCATCAGTGGGTGAGAGAACATACTGCCAGTATTCTGAGGACTATCAAGTGCCACCCTGCAAATGGTGGTGGCAGCAGATATGTCAAAGCACCATAGGGAAACTGTGTCCCTGGGGCATGTACCCCCCCCCTTCCCACCAACCCTGCCACTGTCCACTCCTCCGCCCAGGGTCCCTCTCAGCCCTCTCACGCAGTGATTTGTGTCTCCATGAAGATCAGGATGAGGACCAGGAGGGCAGGAACAGCGGCTGCCACCATCATCCAGGGCGGGAAAGGACGGGCACTGCCCAGGGGTGGGATGAACCATGTACGCTTATGGGGGGAGGTCACCGAGAGCCCCGTGGGCACGGTCAGCTTCTGCATGGCCAGAAGGAAGACAAGGTTCAGGGACACTGCCACCCCATGCTAGGAACCCATGCAGCAGCAGCTCCCACCAAGCTGTATGTCCCCAGTACCAGGACTCCAGGGAATTTGAGTGTGAACAGGTTTGGGGGAAATTAGTTTTCCATCCTCCAAAATCGCGTCCCCACAAGGGTCCCATAAGACAGAGATATGACATACCTTCTCCCCGGTCCCCAGAGCTGCCAGAAGATCTGCTTTGTGGACACCTGTCATTCTGTCCCCAGCCCCATACCTGCTCCTCCAGGATTCTTGACTAAGGGTCACACATGGCCTCAGACCCCCTGGTGGCCTCCTCAGCTGAACCATGTGGCTGCTTCTGCAACTCCCAGCCCACCCACCTGTGTGGCCCCAGCAGGTCACCACCACTCCACTAGGAAAAGCTGGGTTCCAGCCCTGATCTTGGCTGCTGGGGCAATGGAGATATGTCATAGCTTGCCTCTCGAGGCCCTGGGGTGAGAACCAGCTGCCAGAGAGGGTCTGAGCTCACTCACCTGTGTGTAGGTATCTGTAATGGAGTAATCCACCAAGACCATCACCAGAATGGAGATGGGGATGCCGAAATCCCCAATGATGCGGCGAGCCTTGAGAAGGGAGCAGAGGTGGAGGTGAGGGTCAGGAGACTAACATGGGGCTTATTATCCCCAACCACTCTTGGGTCTGAGCTGGTGCCGGAATTCTCCAACCTGTCCCTTTAAACCCCATGGTGCCAACCCAGCTCCGGTAGGCATTCCACTCCTGATTAGACTTCTCTGAGGCTTCTGATGGGGGTGAGGCTGCACAGACTTGGTTTAGGTCCATGGGTTGCCCGGGAGAAGGGGGCAGCCCCTGTCTGGAGTGCAGCCTGGCAGTGACAGCAGGAACTGAGTGAGTCTCACAGGGGCTCCACAGGCCCTACTCCCGGCAGCGACGCACCTTGCCGGCCAGGAAGCGGCTGTTCCTGAACTTGCGTAGGAAGAAGGCGATGAGAAAGGTCCCGAGCATGAGGATGAGGGACAGCAGAGCCGTGTTGGGCTGGTTCCTCGGGCCTGGCGGCCCCTCAGTGGGAAACAGGACACTCCCATTCAGGTCCAGCCCAGCCTCCGGTCCCCTCTCAGGGGGGTAGAATGGCAGCAGTGGGTGCTCCGTGAACACCTGTGTGAGTTAGAAGGGTGCCCTGGCGTTCACCTGGACAGGTGACCCTGATTTCATCACCATCAGTACACCTGCATGGCAGAGGGCTTGGCCCTCACATACCTGACCAGGCAGTAGTAACACAAGAAATCCAGCTACATCTCTCTCTCACACACACCACACACACACACTCTCCTCTACAAAAGGTGACCCAAGGACACCCAGCCCCATAGTGCTGACAGTGCCCACTCTTTCACGTACCTGTGCAGGTGAGTCCTGCAGTTCTGACTGATACTCTATGCGTTTGGTTCCCTCCCCTTCAGCTCAGACCTAATGCAGAGTGCCCCGATCCCCAATGCCCACACCCAACAGAGGCACCCTCTTTGTTCCCTCTGCCCCAATGCTTCAGGCTGCTCCTTCCCGAACCCTCCCCGGGCACGGCCCAGCCCCACCTACACCCACCCACCCCGACCTCTCGGGATCTCCACCTTGTACAGCTTATGGAAGGTCTCGTAGATGAAAATGAGAGAGATCAGGAAGGCAAAGATCTCCTGGGTAAAAGGCGAGATGTAGCGGACCAGGAAGCTGCCCTCAGCGGCCACCAGGGCAAGAACGAAGACCACCAGCCAGAGTCCAACCCACACCCGGCCAGTGAGGTATTCCAGGTCCTGGGATTGGCAGAACTGGTGGCCAGGAGAGAAAGGTGGTTACCACATGGGTCTGCCCTAGACATCAGGGCCTCAAAGGATGGGTGGGTTGTGGGGGGGCGGGCGTACACTCCAAGGGAGAAGGAGGAAGAGACAGCAGGGACCTGTCTCACCTGGACTGAGGAACTGGGGGAAGGGCAAGTGATCCCTGGAGAGGGAAAGGGCAGGGCTGTCACCTTGAAGAAAGCTTCTTCGAAGACCAGCAGTGGCCCTGAGAAGCCAACCACAAGCAGTGGCTGGGCCCCCAGCAGAGAGAAGAGGACTCCAAGCACAGCCGTGGACACGATCAGCTCGGACACGCCCATCAGCCCCTCAGTCTTCTCCCCTAGGGCGGGCAAGCGTCAGTGGGACGGCCCTGGTCTGGCTCCCACCTGGCCCCTCTTCCTTACCTAGCTCACCCTAACCTAAGGACCCAACGAGAATGGAGTAGCTGCCCAGAGCGATAGACAGGGCCCCTCATTAACGCTATCTTTTCTGCCCCCTCACCACCAGCCCCTCAAAGTGACCACAGGATCCCCTGCCCCTTATCACTTTATAGCCCCCCAACAGTGATCCCAGAAGTGATCACTAGAATCCCATGACCCAGCAGCTCAACACGGTCACACTGAAACCTATCCCATCACCCATCAACCCTTAAGATGAGCATTGGGACATCCTGACCCTGAAACTTTGCAGGTGACACTGAGCCCCCTCAGCTCTCCCCCCTGCCCTCTCACCTAGCAGCCCCCCGAAGGTGATGGCAGGGCTGAGGGCAGCAAAGTAGATGAAGAGCACGGCTGCCACGCACTGGGAGTGCAGGGCATCGCGCAGGTCACTTGGGTAGTGCGGGTACCGGCGCTTCACATCCCGGACAAGTCCCCCGAATACTGAGCCAGTTCGCAGCAGGGGGTCATCTTCAGGGGTCGCCTCAGAGACCCCCAACTCCACCGACAGCTCTGGGGAAACAAGGGGCTACTGGAACACAGGCCACCCCCTCCTGCTTGGACGCGTTCAATCCCTCCCAGCCTGGGCAGAGGGGATTGGAAGCTGCATACAGGCCCTGGGGGTCAGGACAGTGCTGGGGTCACAGTCTTAGGAGCTGTGTCGGGGGATGTGAGGGAGGGGTCTGGGGTCCAAAGGCTCTGACCTTTCCCAGGGGCCGCATAGCTTCCCTGGGTGGTCATATCAACTTTGGTCTGTTCGCGCTCTCGCCGCTTCCTCAGCAGCTCTCGCTGGAAGGCAGCTACGGAGCGCAGTAGGTCCCGGCCCTCTACCTCGGACGGCGGGATCACAATACTGCCGTCTAGGAACTCGCTGATGGCACTCAGGAGGTCCTGCCGGTCGTCTGCCTGGTAGGCAGCCTCATGAAACAGCTGGGGGCAGGAAAGCAGGGGCTGAGCTGGCCCAGGGAGCCCCAGGAAGGGGGCTTCAGGGAGGGGGTGTTGGGAAGCTCAGCTATATACACAGGTCCAGTCCTGTTGTCAAAATTGTGACTCACAGCCCTGCTGGCTAGCAAGCAGCCACAGTCCTGAACACTGTCCCCTCTGAGTGCCCTCTATTCCTCTGGGAGCCTCTAGAGCAGCGGTTCTCAACCTGTGGGTCACGACCCCTTTGGGGGTCGAACGACCCTTTCACAGGAGTCGCCTAAGACTATCGGAAAACAAAAAGATATTTACATGACGATTCATAACAGTAGCAAAATTACAGTTATAGAGTAGCAACGAAAATAATTTGATGGTTGGGGGTCACCACAACATGAGGAACTGTATTAAGGGGTCGTGGCATTAGGAAGGTTGAGAACCTCTGCTCTAGACTTTTCCACAATGCAACATCTAAAGGGGTAATGCCTGGATAGCAGCACGCCCACGCCCTGCAGGTTGGTAAGTATTTCAACCATCACCCCTGGCTAGAAAACCCTCCCACCCAAGCCCAGGAGAAGCCACAGCAAAGGCCAACATATCCACCCTCCCATTCAAATCTCATGTCATATCCAAAACTTGGGGGTCTGGGCTGCTTCTCCCCCTGCATCCACCTCCCCCTCCCAGTCCAAGCTGTGGAGGGCTCCCTTTTCTCCCTTCAACCAACAGCCCTCTCCACCATGCCAAAGCACTGTCTCCACCCAGGAGGGCCTCTAGCACCCTTGCATCCATGGGCACCCTGCAGGCAATGAGAAGGACAGGGAACAAGGAGGCAGGGCCCAGGGGGACAGGCCTAGAGTGCCCAGCCCATGGGCTGCAGGACCAACCTTGTCAGACATGAGGGTGGCAATGGAGCGCCCAAGCTCATGATAGTCAGTGCTGGTGTGGCGGGGCCCCAGCATCACGAAGAGGAAGCGAACTGGCACGGGGACCTCGAGCACAGACTCCAAGAGTACAGCCTCATTCAGTCGCACAAAAGCTGCTGCTGGCTGCTCTAGGAAAGGCACACAGCCTGGGGAGAGAGTACAGTACAGGGCGCTGGTCAAGGCAGGCCCTGGAGGGGATTTCTCAGGCCATGATGTACAGTGGAGCAGGTGGTGCACTGCATAAAGAAGCCCCAGTCTAAAGGAGACTTATTCATTTATATATTGGTATGTTTAATCACAATTTACCAACAGATGGAAGTTCATGGTCTTAAGGAAGGGGTGCTTTTTTCTAATTCTCACAAAGGAGCTATATGAACAAGCAGTTGTCCAACTTAGCAGAAAAGTGGAAGGGAGGCAGGCAGAGGACCGAGGAAGAAAGGGCGGGGGCAAGACGGGTTGTGAGAAAGAGGAAAGGCAGGTGGGGGCCTGGGTAAGGACGGAAGAGGCAGCCGGCAGGCCGGAGCTCAAGACAAGCAGACCACCGTGGAGGCGCCCACGCCCTGGAGCCCCTGCCCCAGCACACAAGCCCTCCTTACCCACGAGCACCACAGTAGCCTCAGCGTCTTCAGGGATCTTCTCCAGCAGCTTCAGGCTTTTCCCCCGGTGACCGTCTCCCCCAGGCACGTGGAGGGGCTTCTGAGGACGCAGAACTGGAATAGGGCTGGGACCCAGACGGGAGGCCGTGGCAGGCCCTCCCTTCCCTCGCTCCAGCCCTGGACTCTGTTCTCCAACCCCTGGATGTAGGCCCTGCTTTCTGCCACCCCAGCCAGGGTAGGGACTGTTGGTGATGTGCCCCACATCAGGAGGGGACCCGCGCAGGATCTGGACCCCTCCCCCAAGCCCCCCACAACCGCCTTAGCCTTATCTTGTTGTTTAGATGGCTCCCCTGGGTCAGCCACATCACCCCAGCTAAACCTATTTCTCCCTTGTGCATGGCCCCTGTAGATCCCCACACGCCTAGTATAGCGCCAGGCATCCCATCTTCCTAACCCACTCAATGGAGCCGTCCGTGGTTTCCACTGAAACTGTAAGTCCTCTCAGTCCCCCCAGCCCAGGTCAAAGCAAGGCGACTGACCTCCTTAGCATCAGGGTCATGAGGCCAGAGTGGGGCTGGCTCCCCCAGGTCATCAGCCATGGTAGGCACCGCCCCATCAGGACCGTGGCTGGGGGTGGGGTGGTGATTGCCCAGGACAGAGTTCATGCTGGAGCTGGACGTGTTTCGGGGAAAGAAGCCACTGTCCTTGTCATCATTGGGATGGCTGGGGAGAGGGCAGAGCGGGCAAGGCAGGTTAGGAGGGGAGGCCAGCCCTTGGTGGACTGAGGTCATCAGGGAGTGAGACGTGGAGGGTCAGGGCCTCTATCCCGCTGCCTTAGTGTAAGGAAGAACTTTCTAATGGTTGGTGCTGTCCAAAGATGAATCAGGAATGAGCCCCCCGTCACTTGAGGGTATCGAAGCAGAAGAGTCATGCAGGAGACTCTTGGGGGGGCAGCCAAACCAGGAAGCTCCCTCCCAGGCACCCCACCCTGGCACCTGTGCTTCAACAGCAGGGTACGCAGGACACTGGCCCTGTCCTCTGGCCGGATCTGGTCGGACACAATCATGGTCTCCACCACCAGATGTGCGATGCCTGGCAGAGTGGTCTGCTCCAGGTCCAGGAGCGCAGCTCCTGGGAGCACAGTCAGGGGAGGGGACACAGTCCCGTCAGACAGGAAAAAGCTGCCCCCACCCAGCTGCTTTGCTCCCCCAGCGCAGGCGAATGTGCTGGGTGAGCCAAGCGCCCAACACACCCAGGCAGATACACAGTTCCCTGTGGCCATAGGCTCCCAGAGGAATGAGTGCATGACCTCTCCTCACCCAGGGAGGGGAGTCGTTTGTTGGTTTACTCCATGTGGAGTGAGTGATACCTACCATGCCCCAGGTACAGCGCCAGGTACCAGGAGCACAGCCCTGCCCCTCAGAGCTTACAGCTGTGCAGACAGTTAGTTGGACTCCATACCCCCAAAGTAGCAGCCAGACCTCACCCAGCCCCAGGATTCCAGGGAGTGGTCCCCGGGAGCCGGGCAGCCTGGCACAGGCTCTGCGGTCTATGAAGAGGGCATGCAGCCCCAGGGCCAGGTGTGCAGGGTCCCTACCATGGGCGATGGTCCTCCTGAGCTCCAGGAGGCTGCGGAAGGACAGGGAGGCCACGTGGGGCTTCCCCCAGCGCTCCGTCTCCTCCTCCACGTCCTCTTCAAACTTGATCCAGCGCGCCGTCTCCCGCCAGTGGGGCTCCTGGCTGCGGTCCAGCATCAGCTCGTTCAGCTCCACAAACACCTGGGGCGGGTGCCAAGGGCGAGAGTCTGGGGGCCAACCGGGTAGGACCGGCTGTCTCTCTCGGAAACATGGCAGCAGGGCAAGGCGGGGAGGAGAGGCAAGGGGCAGCTGCAGACCCACCCCCGCGGGTCCTGTACCTCATGAGGCCTCCGATCCAACTTCTTCTTCTTCTTCTTTCTGCGCAGGATGGGAGCCACGCCCCCAGGACTGCCCCTCCCACCCTGCGACCGGGACGGCTTCTTCACCAGGTGCCGCCGCATGCCGGGGTTGTCCTCCAGCCGGTGACCTGTGGAGAAGGCGGGCTTGGCGGTCCCAGGGGTCCCGCTTGGGGCCTCAGGGTCATGGCCAGCCTCTCCTGACCCCTGCTCTGCCCAGCCAGTCCCCTCGATGGGTGCCACAGTCACCCAGGGGCCTTGCCAACAGGACCACCTTGCTCATTGTGGATATTTTCAGAGACTGGGGCCCAGAGAAGAGGAAGAACTAGCCCAAAGTCACAGAAGGGACCACTAGCCAAGCCACAGTAAAAGGGCAGCCCTTGACATGGCCGCTGCCTCTCACTTTGGAGTGCCATGACCCACATCAGGTCGCCAAGCCCCCAGCACTTTCCCTGAGCCCTCTGGCGGCCCCCATGTCTAACCCCATAGGTACATATCCAGGCAGAATCTGGCAGAGCCTCTCTCCCTCCCTCCCCGCCTACCCCTTCCAAGCAAGCAGGTGGGGAAAAGGCCAGCAGCCCAGTTACTCACAAGCTCGTCCCCCTGCCATGGGGCTCAGATAGCCCCTGGTGGACTCCCACAGGTCACAGTCCTCAAGGTCCAGCACAAACATCTCTAAGTCCTCTGAGGCCATCGAGTCTCGAGGGCTGGGAGAGGGAGCCCTCCCAGGGCCCTGGCCCTCGGCATCCCGGGACCCAGGGCTCAGAGTCCCATTGGGCTCTGCGACCTCCTCCAGCCAGCTCAGCATCCCCCCGACTGCCAGGGCCTCGGCCCCTGCTCCCTCCCAGAGCCCCGGCTCTCCTAAGGGGTAGGAGCCTGGACAGGAGTGGTCTTTGTCCAACCAGAGCTGGAGATGGCTGGGCCTTTGACCCTGACTCCCCACGTCCCCAGGCCTGCTCCCAGCTGCTTCCAGCCCAATACCCTGGATCCGTAAACACGTCCTCCCCCTGACCCCCCCATCCTGCCACTACCACTGTTGCTGCCATCGGGTTGTTCCTGTCCCTGTCCTCAGGCCCTGGCAACTTTCCATGACGTACTGAGCTCAAAGCCCTCCTCCCCACCCCCGCCCACAACTGTGGTTCCAAGGGGGAGGAGGGCGGGGTCAGCGATGCCCCTGGCCTGGGCACGGAGCCCCATGGGTGATGACAGGTGGCACAGAAACCATGGCACCGATAAGATGGGAGGAATGTGCCGAGATCACAGCCAGGTCTGGCCAAGGGTGGTGTGAGGGGGCTCAACATAGAGAGAAGCAGGGCCTGGCACAGCGGCTCGAACTCGGGGTGCTGCTTTGAAGGAGTAAAGAGTCGGCCCTGAGAAGAGGAGCCCTGGGGGAGGGGAGGATAAAACGATATCTCCAAACATCATGTGGAAGGGGGGCTGCCTTATTCCGGGGGTGACTCAGAGGACAGAATAAGGATGGAAGGGCAGAGATGTCATGAAGGGAAATCTCAGTTCTGGCAACCAGAGAGGTAGCTTGGTGAGGAAGTGAGCTCCTCATCCCTGGCCACACTCCAGCAGACAGGGACACTGCAGAGGGGGTTCAGCTCTGGGTGAGGGAGAGCACAGAGCCTCTCCAAGGCTCCTCACAGGCCCAGGACTCATGGGAGTGGGCCGTGGGGGCTGCCACAGGGTCACTCACTCTTCATGTCATCCAGGTCTGCAGAGCCCAGCATCTGGGCCTCTGCCTCGTCAGTGGGCACTTGCTGCTCTGGGCCACCTAGGCTGCCCAGGGCACTGCCTGGGCACAGTCGCTCCCGCAGATCATAGCTGGCTGATGGGCTCCAGGGCCGGCTCTTCTCCCCGGCAACTCTGGAGGCCCGGGCCCGGGGGCTGGAGGAGCTGAGGAGGCAATATGGCAGTCTTGGACTTGACAGGGAACCGCAAGGAGGTGGGCCAGGTTAGGGGGTTCCTTTGCCTCCAGCTTGGGGCGGGGCCTACAGTGGCCCTCTGAGCACTAAACACAGGTTTTTCCTGGGCAGAGAAGAAGGCTCACCTCCACCTTCCTGCTCCCATCACGCTGGTCCCCCTTCCTCTCAACTCCCATCCTCCTCTTCGCTCTGACACCCTCTCTCCTGAAGGACTCTTCCCGTCTCGGCCCTCTGGTTCTCTCCTCCTTGTCAATCACGTGGACCCCGCCTCCTCTGCCCCCTCTCCTCCTGCTTCTTCTCTGGGGTCAGAGCTGGACACACCCTCCAGAGTCAGGAAGGAGCCTGGGACCTCCTCTGGGCTGGGGTAGAGGCCAGTACCTGATGGAGTGCTGGGGGCTCTTGTCAAAGCAAGGGCCCCTGGAGGGCAGGGGCTTGGTGCAGGCAGCCCTGCTGGAGAGGCCGGGGCTGTCATCCTCGTCACTTCCAATGGAGAACTGTGGACAAACCAGACTTGCCCTGGGCCCCTGCCCCAACTCAGCCCCCAACCCACTGCTCAGCCTGGCCCAGGCCCCCTCTGTGGTGTCCTCCCCTCCTCTCTGCACCCCTCCCACAGCAGCCAGCCTCCTTCAGGGGCAGACCCCTACCTTTGCTTTCTGTGGGGATCCTGAGGATGGGGGCCCCACAGGCTCTGCCTCAGATTCCCCTTCCTCCTCTTCTTCCTCCTCCTCCTCTTCTTCTTCCTCCACCCCAGCTCCCCCCTCCTCCTGAATGGGAGGGGTCCCCGCAGAGGGGGCAGCAGAGGTTTTCTCCTTCTTCCTCTTCCTCCTGGTTTGCCGGGCCGAGGCGGGGGGCAGTCGCCGCAGCTTGTGGGGTGGAGGCAGGCGCACCGAGAGCGGGTGGTGGGTGTGGTGGGATGTGTGCCGGTGAACTGGGGGTGCAGGAGAGCCGGTTGGGGCCCCCACAGCAGAGAGGGACCCCACATCACCTTAGGGTCACACACCTCATTCTAGCTCAAGGCCTCTAACGAGGCCACCCTAGTCCTTCCTCCAGAGCCAGGCTCCCCCCAACACCTGTGTCCATGTCCTGTCATTGGTAAGGCCTGGTAGAGTGGGGAAATGGTAATGAAAGAGGGAGTCGGGGAATGAGAGGGCACGATATAGCAAAGAAGAAACAAGTAGAGTCAGAAGAGCTAAGGAGGGGAGATGACAAGGCAGAGGCAGCAGGGCCAGGGGTACGACAGAGCCTTGGGGAAGATGAAGGTCACTGAGGGAGGCCTCGGGGCCATCTCCCTACATCTCCCCTGTGACTGGGGCCCAGATCCCCTGGCAGGTAGACAGGCGATGGGTGAGTGAGGCAGGATGACTTAACATGGCATGGTGGCCCAGCACAGCGTCCAGCACAGCGTCCAGCACAAGATGGCACTGGGTGACCAAGCCAGTGGAGAGCACGGTGATGGTGGCAATGAAGGTGATGGTGGTGAGGGCGGCCACACTAGGGGTCCCCAGGCTACCCACACTCAAAGTCTCTCTCGCTGTAGCTGCGGCTGGGCTTCTCGGGGTCCCAGGCTGGGGGCTTGCTGATGAGATCCCCAAACCTGCTCACAGCCAAGGTCTTGCCCAAGTCATCATCCTCCTCCTCCATGTCTGGACTCAGAGGGGGCTCCTCCAAGGGCACCCGGACCTGCAGGCTCAGACAGCCTATCCTAAGGATCCTTGACCCATGAACACCCACACACACCCCCCAACACCAAGCCCTGAGGGGGGGGAGGGGCGGGAGAGACCAGCAGCCTCCATCTTCTTCAGCCCCTTCTCCCCAGGCCGCAGGCTGGGGTCAGCACCCCAGGCTCCCAGGGTTTGGGAGGAGAGGGGGTAACAGACCTGAAAAAATAGCAAAAGACCCCCTCTTTCTCCATATCCCCCAGCTCAGCTCTGTCCCTGGATCTGGGGATCCCCGGGTCAGCCAGAGGCCTCCCTTCTCCTCCTTGGGGTCCCTCCCCCACTCCTGCGCGTCAGTCACCTGGGGTAGGGGGGAGGCGCCCCCGGGCGGCGGGATCACTCCGTTGGCCATGGCCGGAGAGGCAGCTTGCGAGGCTTTCGCTCACTGAGGGATCCGTGATCCGCGTGAGAAGAAGGGGGCGCTGCGGGGGCCTAGTGGGGAGCCCTGGGGGAGGAGGGCGGGGTCAGGATCCTCGCGCGGCCGCCCTCTCCCCCTCCCAGAGCCCGATCCCCCGCCTGCCCGCGCGCGCATCCGAGGCCCCGCCGCGCCCGGGACACCCTGGGGCCCGGCCCTGGCCCGCCGCGCCCCGCCCCGCCCTGCGGTACCTCGGGGCTCCGGAGCGTGCGTGGCCCCGGCCGGCTGCCGCGCCCCATCTCCTTCCCGCGCTCGCCCCCGGGCCTGGCC